TTAGAGGTGAATGGAGCAAAATGGATACTTTTCACTTTTTTTTATTATTCCATTTGATTTATTTTTCAATTAAAGGCCCGGGTGGATTATTGGATCTTTCGAACGTGATCTTGGTTGTTTTTTTATTTTGATAATCTGAAATGATCTCCAATTGCTATTCAGTTTTACACAACCCTGGAGTCTCCAAAAATTATGATTGTACAATCAAAAAAACGTTGAAAAAAAACTGAACATTTTTAAAGAGCGTTTTTGAATAATATTGGAAAATAAACCCAATAGGGAGGACATTGCAAATTAATAATTTGATGCATCTAATGGGTGTTAGGTTACGAACATCAGAGAAAAGGTCAAAAGTGTCCGTTTTGCCCCATCCTCCCCTACCGTTGTAGATCAGTTCTCACCATGACCGAATATCCAGTCGTCTCTTGTGCCCCGAGAAGAACTAATGCAATGATAAATCCTTTGATCGTCCCTCGATCCCTGACGAGATCCCTGAATCCAACAGATCTACTGGTATCGACATTCTCCTTGACATACGCCTGAAGCTGTCGTAACTCGAGTTTCGCTGCTGATTCATTGTTACTTTTCAACCACATCAGGGATCTGAATGGGAGGAGAATAGAAATGACGATGGTTCGATGCTGAAATTTCCCCAGGCTTTTTGTCCGATTCTAATGAATTCCGCAGCTTTACTGTGCGTATTTTATGTCAAATTTCTAATAGAAACTATTTTATAGAAAAAATCAGTAGAATTTCATCTCTCTATACAAATTCTATTGGCATACTTTCTATACAAATTCTTCGACATGAATTTTCTACGCTTTTCTACTCTATTTTGTTCTCTTTTCATTTTTAAAAAGTAAAACAGAAGAACAGAAGATTTTAGCCGAGGTATTTCTATAGAAAATATCTCAATAGAATCAGTTGCATAGAAAAATTGAATTGCATTGATATTTCTGATAGAAGATTGTCAATTAGACATTTCTATTGAACAAAAACGCGCTAATAAGCAGCGGAATTTTTCAATTGAATCAACATAATAAATAATAATGAACAACTCAGAAAATTTGCGCCGAGGAATTCTTACAGACAATATCTCAATAGAGTAAAGTGTATAGTATTTTTAAGGTTTAAGCATAGTATTTTTCTTCTATTGAATATTTTCTATTCAATCATAACGCGCTGAGAAGCTGCGGAATTTTTCACTAGAATCAGGCGAAAACTAACTTGAAAGTTCAATAGAAATCTAACAGAATCCTCTGGCGAATTCCCTAATCTTTCCTCTGAAATTTTTTCGTACGTGATAGTGGAGTAATTGCGGTGTTGAGTAAATTGTCATAGTGTGACGTTTTTTCACACAAAATATTTAATAGAAAAACCTAGCGAATTCGATGGAGAATTTTATTGGATGTTTATTGAACTTCTATTGAAAATTCTATCAGTTTTTGACAGATTCTATTGAATTCTGCAGCTCTAATATACATTTTTATATCAAATTTGCAGTGGAAACTTCTATAGAAAAAATCAGCAGCATTTCATCTTTTTATATGAATTTTTCTATCGAGACGTTTTCTATAGGAATTCCTCGACATAAATTTTCTACAGGATTCCTTATTGGATTTCCTATTGGATATCCTGTAAGATTTTCAATTGGATTTCCTAAGAAATTTAGAGTCATAACGGCCATATGAGGGTCACATAGGAACATGCGGGGGTCATACGGAGGTTATAGAAGGCTCATATGGGGGTCATATGAGGATCAAGTGAACTTCATATGACCTCCATGTGACCTCTATATAACCCCTATATAACCGCCATATGACACTTTTGACCCTCATGCCGCTAAACCTTTTCTGAAATCCTGTTGAAAATATCATATGAAATCCTATTGGATTATGTGTAGGAATACTCAATAAAAACACATTAGTTTTATTCTTCAAAGTAAAACTCTTTAATGATCGCACGCAGAAGGTATATCTTTCTCCAACGAAGTCTCTAGGACGACTAACTAAAAGTCATGAGAGTTTTCACTCTCTGGACCCATTTGACAAAAGGCCCTTGTTTCAATTTTCTTCAGCCTCTCCTTTGTGACTCACCATGAGGACTGTTTTTCTTCACGTCTCTATTTTCTAAGAAAAGCCATAAATGTCACCCTGAGTGTTTGGGTGGAAAAGAGAAAATGTTTAACTAAACTAAGAAATTAATTTTTGTATTCAGGCATGAATTCCAACAAATCCTATAGGATATGCTATAGGAATTCCTATCTGTAAAGTTCTATAGGAAATATTCGAATTCTCCATAGGATTTCCTATAGCATATTCTATAGGATTTCCGACAGGAAATTCTACATTAAAGAAGTGAATTTATATAGCGTTCCACATCTTTGTGACGTCGTAGGACATGATTGGGTGGGATTTGGATAAGGTAGGAGAGAAACCAGGATTATTCTCAATATGAATAACCAGAAAATTTTTACTGAAAAAAATGGATAGTCCAGGCCGGGGTTTGAAATTCGGGACCTTCCGATTACGCATCGGGTGCTTTCCCAAATGAGCTATCCGGCTCCTAACTATTTCTTTATATCAAATTTCTAGTAAAATACAGGGATTCACATTAACCCTTCAAGTACGGAGTCCATATACGTGTATGGACTCTCGAGCCTGTCCTACCGGCCGGGGTCCATGTATCATAGAGACCCTTATCCCGCTCTAGAAAAATATCAATATCCTACCCAATTTGCAACATATTTCGATTTTGTAAATTTTTTCTTAAAGATGAATAGTTAAGTGTTAATATGACACCTGTTTAATTTTTTTATTTTCATGTTAACTAATTAAATTTTGAAAAAACAAAAAACTAAATTTTCAGTTATTGTAACACAACTTTGAGAGTCTCGTTTATCGAGGAAATATTCACTGAAAAATCTGAAAAAAATCAACAATATAGCTCGAATCTTCCTCCATTAGATGCCGCATGATTTTTTATTTTTCCGCCAATATTTTCATTTATTATAAATAAAAACATGTGAACTATTATCTCTGCTATGGAGTGACATAGAAAGACGAATTTAGGATCATTTTATTCGGTGATTTTTTTCTAGAAAAGCTCTCTAATTACAATTGTTTCTGTCAATTAGTTGTAGAGATAATAATTGGGATAAATAATAGCGCTAACGCTCTGCCTTCCGCCAAGAGTGGGAATGCGCGGTACGTGTGTGCACCTCACTCGCAAGACGGGTGCTGTCTACCGAACCACAACACGGGCCGCGTGCGTTGTTTCAATCGTTCTATTTATTTCCCGCATTTGAAACACAATGGGACATCGAAGGTGTACCGATTCTGAGATACAAAACCTTTTAGAAGATACAGATTTTGCTGATACAGATTCAGACAGTGATGAAGACAGCAGTAGTGATAATTCTGATGACAGTCAGGTAATTATTATTGAATAAAATTTGAATGAAATTTAGCTGCAGAATTTACTCGATGAAAAAATTTGTTTCATTTATGTTTTCTCCGTCCAAGTGAGAGAATCAATCACTGAATAACGAAATCAAGTTTCACCCAATCTCATTTCCATGGTCGCAAAAAAATGTTTCAATGCAATTGAATTTTATTTATATTCGTTATTTCCAAATGTTACTGGAATGCCGAGTTTATTTTGGTGTTTTTATTTGTTTCTCCAGCATGGACAAGGGGACAATGACACGGAAATTTTAAAAAGTTGGAATATGCTTGAAGATCATGCATTCAAATGGGAGCATATAAAGAATTATCATAGTAAGAGAGAAGTTTTTACAGGCAATCCTGGCCCTTGTAACGAGGCGGTCGGAGTGATAAAGGTGGTGGAATCATTTGAAATATTTTCTTCTCCCCATTTTGTACAAATACTTGTCACTGAAACAAATCAGTATGCAGAGCAAGAAGCATCACAACGACAATTTTTGAAAGGAAAAGTAAAACTGTGGACGGACGTTACAGTCGCCGAAATGTACACGTATCTTGGAGTATTGATGCTCATGAGTTTTATTCAGAAACCAACGATCAAAATGTTTTTAGCAAAGAAACGGCTTCTCTCTACACCAGGCTTCAATGATATAATGTCAAGAAATAGATTTGAGTTCATAAATAAATATTTACATTTCATTGATAATTCTACACGATCCTCGTACACTGGACCACCTCAGCTGTTCAAAATCCACCCAGTGATTGAACACTTGCAGGAAAAATTCAGGAATTCATATCTTCCTGATCAGAAGATTGCGATAGATGAATCACTCACTCTGTGGAAAGATCGGTTGTCAATAAAGCAATTTTTACCCTTGAAATCTGCAAAATTTGGGGTCAAGTGGTATCAGTTATGCGAGTCAACCACTGGATATCTGTGGAATTTCGTCATGTATTTAGGGAAAGATACTGATATGGAATGTGCTCCATGCACACGGGATACTCCTAAGACTTCTGCAATTGTATTGAAACTGATGGAACCATTATTGGGACAGGGGTACACCTTATGGATGGATAATTTCTACAACAGCCCTGCTCTAGCTTTTTTTTTGAAGTCACATGAAATTGATTGTGTGGGTACTTTGAGACTGAATCGAAAAAATGTTCCCGTTGTTGTAAAAGAAAAGAAAATAAAGAAGGGAGAGATTGTGGCTCAACATTGTGATGCTGTGACTGTGATGAGATGGAGTGACAAGAAGATGGTATCGATGATTTCTACATATCACGATGATGCAATGACGACTTCACTGAATAAGAGAAAGCAAGAAACTATAAAACGAAACTATGTGTATGATTATAATAAGTTTATGGGGGTGTGGATTTACACGATCAGTTACTCCAACCATTTTTGCTTGAGAGAAAAAAATGTAAGAAGTGGTACATCAAAATGTTTAAAAGATTGATGAATTCTGCTATAGTCAACGCATGCATCATTTATAAGAAGAATTCTGGATCAGAAATGAGTCAAAATGATTTCAGAATTGCTCTCATTGAAGGTATTCTCGCTAAATATCACAGGAGAGTGGAATCGTCACACAGCATGTCAGATGTTACGGATCTGAGGCGATTGAGTGAGAGACACTTTATTAAAAAAGTGCCTCGTAATGATGGAAAAGCACAACTGCAAAGGCGATGTGTTGTTTGCACGAGACATGATAAAAAGAAAACAACGGTTTATTGGTGCGATGTCTGTAGTGTGGGACTCTTCATTCAGGATTGTTTCGAAATTTATCATACCAAAGAAAATTTTTGAAGAGTAAATAGAAGTCAAAATGTTAACCAAAGAGATATGTGTGATATACATTATGCGCAACAAAATAAAAACATGTCTAGACTGACAATTACTGCTGAATTTGTATTCAAAAATTTTATTCTCTCCTTTTCCCAACACTCGGTACAAGCGTACGGCCCTGAGCTGCCGAGCGACCAACGCGCGCCAATTCGCCCTACGCTGAACGCTCCGCCCACTGAGCCGAAATTTCATACGAAATAATAATTAATTCTAAAATATATACACTTCATTCAAGGTTTTTGCATTTTATATATGTCATGTATTTTATTTTTTCCAATTTATTGAAAAAAAATTGAGTTAGTATCTTATGAAAAACGGGAGATATGCATTTTTTTTAACGATTTATTATAAATAACGTATTTGAGATAGAGACTTCGGATAGCACTTAAAATTGTCAGAAAGGTTCAGCGCACCACAGGTGATTTTTACGGATTTTTTACTAGCATACAGTGTAAATGACCACGAGTTATAGTTATCTTGCTTATTACAAAACGGCGAAATTGACGTTTTGCGGCATAAAAACTAGATTTCTTTAAAAAATGTAAAGTAAAAAAATGTGTAATTTTTTTCTGTCCTACCCGATTCATACCATTGGCGATAAAAACTTATTTCGTAATTTTTGCACCATTGGTTTGGAAGTTATGAGCGAACAAACTGCGCAATTCATATGTCACGGAGCGCCCGGTCGCGGGGACAGTTTGCGTTGTAGAGGCCCCATACTTGAAGGGTTAAGAGTTGTCTCTGCTAGTCTCGTGGTTGTCTCTCCGTTGGATTCCCTCTGTCAGGTCTCTCGGATGTTTTTTTTTCTCAGCGTCTAGGCCTTTGTCTCGTTCATTTTCTCCGGATATTCATCTCTTTGTTCGTTCTGACCCCTAGCGCAGGTGATTTGATGGCAATTACTTCACACGGACATCAAAATCACCCTTCCCTGGTATCTACCCAACGCATCCACGGGAAAACCGTGTTCAAACAACCGGGATGAGAGAAGAGCGCTTCAAAATTTTTAGAACACTTGACTTCAGGGGTCACACACAATGCAATTTAAAATCAGCTGAACTTCAGTCTATTAATTTCACTTGAATAGCCAATTATTTTTGTAAAATCACTGCACTGTTTATTATTTATTCCTTTAATGTTTATCAATTCACCAGTCCGAAACTTCACTTCCTGATCGAGAAAAACTAACACTCTGCGAGCCGGCGAAATAAATTGTCTATTTATTTTTAAAATATCCCACCGCCATCACCAATGTTATATGTGGATTTTTAGTCTAGTAAGTTTTTACTGGGCAGTCGGTAAGTTGCCCGTGGAGCGCTAAAGCACTCTGCTCGCAGGAAGCGGGAATCTTGAAATAATGTAGACGACACTCGATAGTAGTTTGGATTGAAAATTTGTAACCCTTTTAATTGAAAAATACTTTGAGACTCTTTAAACACGATGAAATTTCTAAGAGATGTTTTTTCTTCGAACGATGAGACTGAAGTGCTCTTACAACTAATTTCTCGTTCTTACGCTACTTGACAAATTTTGCTTAAGTCTAAGTTGCATCCCCTGTGACGAGGCACATTTATTTATTTTTTATTATTTTTCTACATATTTTTTCCCACTACACACTGCCCCCTAAAAGGTAAATCCCGCCACCGTTGGATACCCCTTCCCCAGACTTTTCCCCTCATCGCCCCTCTACCCCCGCCCCTGGACATCACGAAGACATCAGCCGAAGGAAGACATCAGCTCCGGCCCCACCCGATCAATTGGAGAAGCCATCGCCTCCTGGAAATTCCCCATACTGGACCCCCGAATATTCAACACCTGCAATAATCCCTTGTGAGACATCCCTGGATTGTGGTCATCGTCACCACTCACCCGTGCTGATTGGCCCCGATTGCTCCCGAATCAAAACCCGAAGGACTTCGACACCTGACGAACCCCCACGAATCGCGGAGGAAACGGAAAGACCGTCACTCGTGTAACCGCTGTCCTGGACACTGCCACGTGCGCCCCAAGTCAAGTGAAAATAAAGTGAACATACCCCGAAGTTCTGTACATTGGATTTTGTGTTCGAGTAAAGAGGATTTTTGGTGCCCGAGCACATCCCGGCTCTAAGTACTGTGCCCCTGGAGTCTGGAAGGAGGAACGAAGGCTCAATCGCTGGAGTCGCTGAAGGACCCGGATTAGACCTCAACTGGAAGTCGTGAGTACGAGTTGTCCCCCTCATTTCCCCCTCGCCTCAAGAAGTATCCCTTTTCATACCCCCCAACGGTGAGCCTACATTCTTTTGTTTCTTCCCCTTCAGTTATTATTTTTATATTTAGTTGCATTCCCTCGACACGACTAGCTTCTCCCCTTTTTTCCTTCATTAGAGTCACTCCCTTCTTACGTGTACAAAAGTTGCCTGGCCTCCCCCACTCCCTAGATCCCATTAAAGGCCATATTTACGTCTTTTGACGATTAGAATTGTATTTAGAGAAAATATAGGTAATTATTCTCAAATTATCCCTTATTTGTCCCTTTTCTTGACTCGCCCTAATCCTCTTTTCAGGAATTAGTTTCATAGTATCGAGAAAACGGTCACACCCCCTAAGAAGGGTAGGGAGCCAATCGTATTTTAATGCGCTTGGAGGAGGGCGTCGCTACAGCCCCACAACTCTTGACCTTCAGGCCCATCCCTACTCTACTACGTCATCGGTGACGCTGGGCCCCAGATGTGCACAAAAATGGGGGAGGGGATTTTTTCGTGAATCATCAGAGTAAATGTTCGTGGTGGGGTGAAAAGGTCGGGGTCCTTGTGGCGCCTGAAAAGAAAAGAGGGAGAGGACGGAAGGAAAGACAAAATAGTCGAGCGTGGAAAGTTTCAATAGTTTTATGAGGGTCTTTTATGATGGGATTAAAATGGCTAGAGAGATATTTAAGAAACTTCATTTACAAAAGGGATGGTTTTTGTTGAGGTCTTGGACTATCTGGCGCCGAAAATACTATATTTCCACGTATCGGGAAAGGAGAGGTGAAAGGAATTTATGATAGGATTCGGGATCGCAAGGGATGAATGAAAATGAAATAGAGGTAATTTTATTACGGGATGCGGATATTTCGAGAAAAATGTTTTTCGGTGAGGGTTGTCGGAGATTCTTAGGGTTATAAATTGCCTGTAATTTCTGTTTCGGGTTTTTCCATCCGTCCAGACACTCAATTGCCTACTTGGTTATTTAATTCCCCATTCCATTATTTGATTCTATTTTTACGTAATTTCCTTATTTTCATTATTTACATGTATCTTTTAGTTTGTAATGTAATTCTATATAATTTTGAATGTAATGTTGATTTTTACCACGCTAGAAGCGCCGCTAGGGAATTATTAGGGACTCTAGTGTATAACCAGTATTATACACTACACGATGTAACAGTTCCAGCCTATTTCTTGTTGGCGCTTTGAAGATTCGCCACGTGAGGGCAATAGCGTCAGGGGGGTTTTAGACTTATTGGAAGGTTCCCCAGTGTAATTGAATCACCACAGTTAGCAATAGGAGTAATATTTATTATGATAATGTAATACTAGTAACACAAATAGACTTTGGAATGACTTGATGTCGAGTGCTATACGTGTAACGTTAGAATAGAGGTCTTATAGTAATGGCTTGTTTCCGTGGGCGACGTTGAGCAGCTGTCGCGGCTTGAGGTTGATCGAGGCGCTGCCTCGAGGTCGAAGTGGGGACTACCGGAGGCGGAGTCGCCACATCCCCCCCCCCCCAGTGACCTTCGTGAGATTCGAAGGGAACGTAACAGTCTTGTCTCTCCTTTTGGCATAGGTACGAAGAGGTGGGTCCATGCTTGAGGACGGTAGGTGGGGTCCAATGTTTTCAGGTACCTCAGCCTGCTGAGGTTGTTGAGGATTGACAGGATCCTCTTTGGCAATGTATGCTGGCTTGAGTCTCTCCACTGAGACGACCTTCTCGTCTCCGTCGACCTTGATTTTGAAGGTGTAGTCGTCCAGGCGTTCTAAGACTTCATGAGGTCCAGAGTACGGTGGTTCCAGGGGTCATTTGACTGCGTCGATGCGAAGAAACACATGTGAACAAGAGTACAGGTTTTTTAGGATGAAGACGCGCTCTTTGTTGTGGTGGGCCGTTGGTGTCGGTCGTAGGCTTCTGATGTGCTCCCGGAATTTCTCCACGAAGATTTGAGGATCAGCTGGTATGTCTTCCGAGACGAAAAACTCTCCTGGAACGCGTAAACCTGTCCCAAATACGAGGTCAGTAGGTGAAGCGTTTAGGTCTTCCTTGTAGCAAGTGCGAAGACCAAGGAGTACTGTGGGGAGAACTTCAGGCCATGGAGCTTGTGAGTTGCACATAAGAGCTGCTTTGAGAGTTCTGTGCCACCTCTCAACCAAGCCGTTTGACTGAGGATGGTACGGTGTAGTCCTAATGCGATGCGCACCAATCAGTCGAGATAAGGCCTTGAAGAGCGCAGACTCGAATTGAGAGCCTTGATCTGTAGTTATGGTGAGAGGTGTACCGAATTGAGCGATCCAGTGGGTGTAGAAGGCAGTGCAGACGGTATCAGCTGTCATATCGTCCAGGGGAATGGCTACAGGCCACCTGGAAAATCTGTCAATGATGGTTAAGCAGTACCTGAGACGGTTGACCACTGGGAGCTCGATGAGATCAAGATGAATATGGTTGAAGCGAGAGTCTGGCACGTCGATGTGCTTGGGGGTTAGACGATTGTGACGTTGAATTTTTGAGCGTTGACAAGCGATGCAGTTGCGAGCCCATTCCAGAGCGTCCTTCTTGATGCCAGGCCAGATGTACTTCTGCTTGAGTGTATGAACTGTTACTCGGCCACTGGGATGGGACAGCCCATGAACAGTGTCGAAGGCTACTTGTCGCAGATTTTTGGGAAATGAAAGGTCTCACAACGCCGGATGAAATGTCACAGTAAATTGAGTTGTTGCCATCGATGGATAATCGTTGAAGTTTCAGCGAACTGTTGTTGTTTTCGATGAGTTGTTGGAGTTCTTCGTCGTCTTGCTGCTCTTGCTGGATCCTCTCAGCACTCAGGATGGTGGGCATGTTGATGGCACTGATCCTGGAGAGTGCGTCGGCGACCACATTGTCTTCACCCTTCAGATGGACAATCTCCGTAGAAAATTGTGAAATGAAGTTGAGTCTTTCTAGTTGACGAGGTGAAGCTTTTTCGGCTTTTTGAGAGAATGCGTAGACCAAAGGCTTGTGGTCAGTTCTGATGACGAAGTGACGTCCCTCGAGAATGTGACGAAAGAATTTGATGGCAGCGAAGATTGCCAGCAACTCTGTCATACGTGCTCCACCCTTGCTCTGCTGGGCTTAGTTTCCTGGAGAAAAAACCAACTGGCTTCCAGCTGTTGCCCTCGAACTGTTCCAGTGATGCGCCTATGGCGGTGTCAGAGGCATCAGTTGTGAGTGAGAGAGGAGCAGAAGGTGACAGGAAAGCTGTGCGAGCTGCTGAAGCCACACTCTGTTTGAGGTTTTCCAGAGCTTGCTCCGTGACAGCGGTCCACTGGATCTTAGTTTTGTCATTCTTCTTCTGGCTTGGGATGAGTCCATTCAGAGGTGCCTGAATCTCTGCAGCGTTGGGGATGCTCTTGCGGTAATAATTTACCATCCCGAGAAAACGACGGAGTTCGACGACGGTTTCTGGCTTTGGAAAAGAGATGATCGCCTCGACACGTGAGTCTGGAGCTTTGTATCCATGTTGGTTGATAGTGTAACCAAGGTAAGTTACTTCTTCCTTGCCAAACTCACACTTGCTAGGGTTCAGCGTGAGCTTGTGTTGACGCAGGATGGAGAAGACTTTCTGAAGATGTTGAAGATGCTCCTCATGGGTTTCAGAAGCCACGATGAGGTCATCAATGAAGCAGCCAACAAAGTCCAGACCCCTAAGGATGTTGTCCATATGACGTTGAAAGGTCTGAGTTGCATTACGTAGTCCAGGGGGCATGCCCAGAAATTCGAAGAGACCGAAGGGTGTTGTAATTGCAGTCTTTTCGATGTCCTCTAGAGCCATGGGGATTTGATGGTATGCTCGTACAAGATCAATTGTTGAGAATATTTTCTTACCATGCAGGCGTTGAAAGATATCCTCTGGGTAGGGCACTGGGTAGCGATCAGGGACTGTCTGAGCGTTGAGTCGCCTGAAGTCTCCAGTGGTACGCCAGCCTTCAAGTTTCTTAGGTACCATATGGATTGGACTCGCCCATTGACTGCTGGATGGTCGAATGACACCAAGCTCTAGCAGAAAGTTGATGTCATCCTTTGCAGCTTTCAGTTTCTCACCAGGTAATCTCCGAAATCGCTCCACAACTGGAGGTCCTTGAGTAACGATGTAGTGCGCCACGTCTGCAGAGTTTTGGGAAGCGGCAGAGATAGTAGGCTTGGTGATATCGATGAACTGCTGGAGAAGTGCTGCGTACTTGCCCTCAGAGAAGCTGTCAGGGAGCACGTGTTGGTCTACAGTAGATATCCCGAACACTGAGGTTTCGACAAGTTCTCCAGTTGTTGATAATGAAGTGAGAGGGTCGATCAGACGATGTTTCTTGAGGTCTATCATCAATCCGAAGTGAACAATGAAGTCAGCCCCGATGATTGCGGACTGAACGTCAGCAACGATGAAAGGCCAGGTAAATGCTCGACGGAGACCGAGGTTAAGTGTGATTGGTTGATGTCCATAGGTTGTGATACTGGTGGAGTTCGCAGCGTAGAGTTTGAAGTCCGATGGTTGCAGGTTCTGCTTGGCAAGAGTTCGTGGTATAACAGATACGACAGAGCCGGAGTCAACAAGAAATCTGGTGTGAGAAGATTTGTTGTAGACATGTAGACGCTGCTCTTTGATCGGTGGAATGTTTTGAACGCTGTCGCCAACCGCCTGGACTGACGACAGCTCAACTAGTTTCCCTGATTGCTAGGCACCCAGGTGCAAGGCTTGAGGCATCTGACAGCCTTGGCACCGAATCTACGATGGTAGAAGCACTGATCAGGTGGTCCTGGGGTGCGAGATCGAGATCGTGATCTTCTGTCGTGGTCCCCTGTAAGCTTGGCTGATAGACTACTGACTGATGCAGCCAGAACTTCCAATGTTTTCTCCACTGCGCTCAGTCTCAGCTCAATGTTGCTGTTGCTCTGCCTCTGATATGGCACGTGACTGGCTGCCATGACCTGCGTTTCAGCTCCCATGGGCTGAGGAATGAAGGTCATGGGTTGCTGAGCACTGGGTAGCATTGGCTGGTTGTTGAGAGCCATGGACTGGAAGCTGGTTGACAGGACTTGGGAGCTGGTGTGATTTTCCATACAGCTGTCGGCTGCCTCAGCGAGCTGATCGAGAGTGGAGTTGTTAGAGACTGCTTTGAGGATCTTGGACACAGTATCAGGCAACAGGGCCAGCCATCTGCTGCGAATGAGTTCTTCGCTTGCTCTGTTGCCAGCGAGCGTTTTCATTTGCCTGAGAAGTTGGCTCGGCTCTTGTGTACCAAGCTGCATCTCTGTCCACAGTTTATGTAACTGGCGATCAACTGAGTCAGTGAAACGTTTGAGAAGTATATTTTTGAGGTTAATATACGTATCTGTGGGCGGTGGATTCCTGAGAACGTCGGACATCTCCTTGAGAACATCCGAGCCCAAGGCAGCAACAACAGCTCCATACTTCGTCTGGTCACTTCTGATGTTTCTGGTGGTGAACAGGGCTTCGATGTGGATGAACCAAAGTTCCGGATCATGAGACCAAAAATCTGGTAGTTTGAA